GCGTTAGCCCAGCGCACAAACGCAGAGAGACTAACTTATGGCAACACAAAAGAAAACATGGGAATGGTGGAGATGAGGAGGTGTCGGCGTTCTGGTGATTTACTCGGACTTCCGGCCGGGGACCGGTGGCAGTATACGCCGTGAAGTTGTTTGCGGCCTGCCAGTAAACCCAAAGCAAAAGAAGAAGAAGTGACGACAGCGGCTTAATTTGCCTAATTCTTCCCCAGGAACTTATTACGGTGTGAACGCAATCTGTACTTAGTTCATGAGAACTAAAGAGTTCTCATGAACTAAGTACTCATGAACCTTTGTGGGAAAAGTACTGCGGTGTGAATGCACCTATTGTGGACAGTTCATAGTTTCTTCATTATGAGGATTTCAGCTTTTTTTATTGTTAGTTAATGGGGAAAAGTCTTTCTGGGCCCAGTGACGTCACAGACTGATACGGAAATTGTAGTACCGCCATTTGGACACACTGGTGGCTTGATGCATTTATCTGATGTTTAACAACAAATTCACAGCCAGCGAGTCGCTTAATTTGAGCTTCCAATGCCCCTCCCTCTCCGACTGCTACCATGGTAACACTCTGATACTCGCGCGCACCACTCTCAGATTCAAGGGCACAGACAGCAGCAAAACGTGCGTTTCGTTCTACTGACTGGAGTTGACAAAAATCCACCATAATTCTAGAAGGTAAGTCGTATACGTTCGTTGTTAATAAAAAGGAGCTGTGGGAGTTAGGGCTGAACGATATATCGTGTCATGGCGATAAACGCGATATGCGCATCCGCATGCGCATATCGCGTTTATCGCCATGACACGATATATCGTTCAGCCCTAACTCCCACAGCTCCTTTTTATTAACAACGAACGTATACGACTTACCTTCTANTTTTCATCTAAAGTAACAGACAGAGAATCAGCACTTTGGAAACAGGGCTGAAACAGAGGGGATTATGGGTAATGCTGCAATGATCTGTTTGGTGTTTCAGCCAATCAGAGACATGTTTTGTATATCTCTGAGACCTATAATATATTGATGAGAAACAGTATAATAGGGGTCCTTTAATGCTCTTTTGGGGGGGTTTACCTTTCAAGTAGTGTTATATAGTAAATGGACTGTACTTATATAGCGCTTTATCCAGTCTTTACGACCCCTAAAAGTGCTTTACATACTACGAGTCATTCAGCCTTTCACAACCATTCATACAGAGCAGTGTACCTTGCTCTAGGAGCTAACATTCACACATATTCAATTTGAGTCTAAACAAGATGGATATTTACAGAAAGCAAAACCTGTCTCAATCTTATCATTGGCGTCAGACTTGAAAAAGTGATATCCTTATCATTTAATTGCAACACAAATTGTTGGTTTGTTGCCAAATGTGCTTCTGATCTCCCCTAGTGGCGGTACAATACCTAATATTGGTTCAATGTGTGTAAAAAGGGTCAAAGAGTCACATGTTTTTCATTTGATCATGTGTTTGCTCTGATGTCCCTTCAAAAGAACCTGCATTGGATTCAATTCAAGAAGTTTAATCCAAAGTTCCTCTTCATTAAGTGTCCAGTTTTTGTCTTTGAGCATCAGCAACGTGATGTCCTCTTAGGTAAATTGTTGAGAAGTGATTTAAAGCGTCTGTTTTTCCCGTGCAGGTCCATGTGAACCCCAGCCAGTCGGTGCTGGTTCTGGAGGGAGACGACATCGAGAGTTTTAACCGCGCCGTGCAGCAAGTCACCTACAGGAACTCTCTACGCTTCGCCACACCGGGGGTCAGACCCCTCAAACTGACCACCTCCCTCAGGTACACACACACACACACACACACACACACACACACACAAAGTCAGGAAGTAAAAACAGAAATGACACAAGGCAAGAATACTTTTCAAAAATAATACACGAAACAATTAGAAAACGTTAGAAAACGTTCCCAACAAAAAGAAACAAAAACAACTGCCACAAACAAGAAAGGAACCAAACAATACAAATGATACAACCATTATCAATGAAAAACAGAGGCAAATAGATAAAATAATTAGTAAATGTCCTATCTATTATGGGAAGGGAAAGTAAAAGGGGAACTAGTCTCTATGTTATACACTTAGTACTATAATAGGCGCTTTCACACCGCAGTACTTTTCCCACAAAGGTTAATGAGAACTTAGTTCATCAGAACTCTTTAGTTCTGATGAACTCAGTACAGATCGCGTTCACACCGGGATAAATCCTTGGGGGTGGATTAGGCAAATGAAGCCGCTGACGTCACTTCTTCTTCTTCTACTTTGGGTTTACTGGCAGGCCGCAAACAACTTCACGGCGTATACTGCCGCCCAAAATCCCTGGCCGGAAGTCCCCGGAGTTTTCTACTTTCAGTAGAAGCTGCTGGGACTCCCAGCAGCTTCTAATGAAGCTTTCCGAGTAAATCGCCAGAACGTCGACACCTCCACCGCTCCCATGTTTTATTTTGTGTTGCCATAAATTAGTCTCTCTGCGTTTCTGCGCTGGGCTAATGCTAATGCTAATAATGCTAATGCGGGGATAATAAAACGGTGGCTTCACAAAACTATTTTTGAGTTTTACGGGGCGTGGTTTGCAATCCGCCCAGCCAATCAGAAATATAGCTCTTTTCTCACAAGAGAGCCGCATGAGAGTCCCTACTCTCTAGCGGGGACGGAAAGGGGGTAAAAAGGTTCTCATGAACTCATTTTAGTTCCGGCTCTTTTTGGTGTGAACGCGACATTTCGGAACTATATCGGAACTAACTGTCCATAGCTAACATTGCTATTTACACCCGGGTGTCCATAGCTAACAATGTTATTTGCACCTGGGCTACACTAACATTAGATAATGTTTTGGATGTATAGGTATTTATGGAAATGTTTCTTTAGGGAAAAAGGGCTAAATAATAACCAGCCTGAGAACACATTTGAAATTCAAATATTTATCAATTTATCGACAAGTAGCAAACATTGTGGCTTTCAGGGCCATGGGACCTGAGGCAGTTGCCTTGAGATGAAACATTCAGATACGTTTACTGCACTGCATTCATTTCTTAAGGAGATACTTTGCTCCATAATCGGCAGAGGACAGCACTGGCAACAGCCCAGCTCCTTCACACCACGGCAAACACCTTTATATGTGGAGAAAAGCAGTGACCTTGAGTCTATAAAAGATGATATTATAGGGCCAGCACACCTGACAGATACTTTTCACTTCCTCTGCCTCGGTGCTACTCTGTCTGCTCTTGTGCATGCTCAAACCACCCTGACACTCGCCTCAGCCAACACTCGGTGAGTTAATGAGCTCAAAAGCCTGATACCCAAACCCATCCAGCCTGCACAATGTGGTGTCCTGCCTCCCGTTTCCTTTGCACGTCAGAGAGACAGAGTCACAGAGGAAAGGCCAAACATGCAGCTCTCCAACTAACTCAACCTTAACCGGTGACTCAGCTCTCAAAGTTGAACAGGGAATAAACGGTCTAATTATCATCTTAACTCTGAAATGGAACAATGTATAAAACTTCTGCAGAGAGGCCTAAGGCAAAGGAAGACTACACTTGACAAGAACCCTGCCTTGCAGGGTCTTCGCATTCCCCCTACATTTAATTCAAACCTAACAAACTAAGAGCAAACTAATGTCGCACAGGACACCAGTTCAATTACATTACCGTTATTTATTCCACACTTTCAAATATCGATTTTCTTGAAACGCTGCTAATCTGAGTTGTTTAATAATCTTATAAATATGGCAATACATTATAAACATAGTTGAAGTAGAAGTAGAATATGTAACATTTTAGTCTATCTTTTTTATGGAATGTTTTCATGATATCATCAATGAATTCGACTCGCATCACAGATGTGGAGTCCCATAGGGTCTTGTGTTTTGCCACATCTTAATCTTCTTTCAATTATTTCTAATTGTACAGTTTATATCCCAAAATAACATAAAATCCCACTTTTGCGCTGTTGCCTCCACACTTGTATACACCTTATTGTACATCCATGGTATACACCCAATAAAATAATACACGTTTCTCTCTTTATCATTCACTGCCAAAAAAAACTGCTTGCAAGTATTTTACTTATTGGTCAATTTTATGAATATAAAACTGTACGAACGAACCCAAAACACGATGCCGCTCCTTAAAGAACCAAAGTGATTCTAACCAAAAGAAAAAAATAAACCTGCAATATGACCTAAGATTTTTAATTTTTTAAATAGACTGCTTAAAAGTGAAGATGTAAAGTGGTAGAGCTGACCAAGGAAATAACTATTACAGCTGCCAATGAAACACATTGATGCATAGCTCAATATGATGGATCGATATTCTAGTCAACACTGATGCAGCCCTAACAAATGGCGAAGTGCTTCTTCCTGACATGAATGTTAGGGAACAGCCAATTAACCACTAATTATATTACCACGTTGGGGAGGGAGCTTTTTTTCACAATTGCTATGGTTGTATGGGGTCCTAATTAATAGGGGCTTGTTGTACAGAGAAATGCAAGCACATTTCTTTCCTGCCGCTTGACCATCTGGCTTGGATGTGTTTTATCAGTAATGGTGTTCCATATCTCTCCATAGCAACCAAATATGTCAGTGATCTGAGCCCTATATGAGAGGGGAGGAGAAGTGGGGCAGGGTTTCTCAGCTTTATTAGCAGCTCTGCAAGAGTTGGGTCAGGCCCTTCTAATATTCATGACAACCTGCAATTACAATTTTTTTCACTCACAGCATTGAGCCACGCCCACCAACAACAGAGCTTTCAGATTTAAAACCGATTCAAATGAGGTGCACCACAGTAACAGATGCTGCTTTTTCTTTCTGGGAATTTAATAGTATACATTTGTTTAAAATGTTTACTTTTGTATTTAATTGTTAGTGCTATTACATTTGCATCTAAATCTAAATAAAGATGCCTGGATTACAACTCAAAAACGAAAACAGCAAATAAAGAAAATAATTAAACCTGTTCTGATTAAACCTGCTGTGAGTCTTAGGAATGAACTAAGAATCACAGGAGATAGAACAGAATGTGTGTGCTAATCTACTTAATCTCTATGCTATCACAGCTCCACTATGGCATGATTATGATTGAAATAAAAATGTTTAGCAATATCGAGCCACTTCCATGAGGTGGAGGCTTTCTGAGCGTCTGAAAGGACGCCGGTGAACACTAGTTGTGTTTTGCACTCCATACTGCACAATAAATCACGTTCCCCTGAGAGGGAGGGACATGACGTCAAGCCTCTTATTCATAGATCCTGCATATTCATTGTCAAGGTTTTACATTGATGCAAAGTAGCAAGGGTCCGTGTTGGAAGTCAAGTCTTCTTCCAGGACACATTTGATTAAAACGTGCTTATCTGACAAATCAAACCGGTCATGAGTTACCTTATTTTGAGAGGATTCATGCATGTTGTTTTTGAGAGGTTATCCCTCAACATAATTCATAAAGAAGTTGCCTATGTTGGAAAAGCAACTTGTACATTTAAAAGTGTGATTTTTCCACTTATAAAATGACAATACTTATGAATACATTACTTTAGTGGTTTGGTTTCTCGTATAACAAAACAGTGTAGAAGTGTCGTGTTCCAACATGGAAAAAAATGAAGTTTGCGTACATTTCAACCATGAAAACCTGACTCAGTTTTAGTGCCTTAGCTTTTGCTTATGTTATAGGAGACTCTTATCATTGGATTTATCAAGAAAGATAACAATCTCTGATGTTGCAGCATTGCCCTCTAGTGGCACAGTAAAACACATAACAGTGCTGTATTTCTTGGATATACCAAGCATTCAGAAACATGCTGGAATATTTACCTGAGAGTGAGGGCTTCTGGGAGTGGTGAGCTGATGGGACGCTGACAATCAAACGCTGATCCTCCACAGGAACCTCTGATGCCTCTGAAGAGCTGAAAAAACAACATTTTATCATTTAATTGTTATAGCATAAATGGTATGTAAAGTGGCACAGACAAGTCACACATATTTTACCTTGTTTCGTTATCTGAAGAGGGACGAAATCGTCCCAGCACCAGCACTTCATATGGCTTCTTATGATGAGAATCCAGTGGAAACACAAACTCTCCAGATGTGGTCACCTAAGGAAAAAAAAAAACCTTAAAACATCTGGAATCTCTCCAATAGTTCAGATGTTTATGATTGAGACATACAAGTTTCTGTACCTTGATCCAGAGCCATTCAGCCACAACTTCTACCCCCCAGTGTGGATACAGCTCATCACGGACAAACCGCAGGTGGCTGGGCCTGTTTGTGACCCAGGTGACCACTAAACAGTTTGGGGAGGCCAGTAAGGGTATAGGCAACCGTTTTAGCTGGGATGAGGGCAAACAACTGTATCTTTATTGAAAAAATAAGGGAGAAAAAAAAACTATTGTTATTTTATGTAATGCAAACCCTTCTCTACTTGATTCTTAAAAAGGTCCTGACTGTCACATTATGTACTGTAATATCACTTTTTAAATAGATACAAGTCAGGGATCATCAGAAAACATTTCTTCATTTGAAGGGGTTATAAGCAAGGATACTGGGAGCAACATTACTAGGTGAAATGTATATAATGTATATAGCTTTTGAATATACTGTCTTATTTTAATTGTATGCAGTTCATTTTTCTGACATATTCCCCAAACCTCTAGCCTGTTTTTGTGCTGTTGTAATCACTAGAAAAACTTATTTTCACACTTCAAATGTCAAATTACCTTCGACTTCTTTTCACAGACTTGTTTTCCCACGGTGGATCCATCACTATTAAGTCAAACCTTCTTCCATCTGAGTGAGAAACAAGTAGCTTTAGTCACCAATGTCAGGCAAGTGGACCGCCACTTTTGAGATGCATCAAAAATGCTTTCATTAATGCCACAAAAAACACGTATCTCTTTTTTTGTATCTATAAGGAAAGCAGTTACCACAATCATGCAGTGATGACACAGGTGTAATACATTTTGTCAAAGCTTTTCGAGATGGTCTGACTAATATTTACAAAATGTTTTACTTCCTTAGATTGTACTCACAGTGGACTAGGGGTTGTATTTTTGTGAAATCAGAAAGCAGGAAGGCTGTGTGTGGTGGTATTACATACTCCTCTCCCATCAGTGTGACCACTGTTGCCCAGTCTGCCCTATTCTCTGTGACTCGAGAGAACAAGTCCACATGTGACGTACTGCCACCTGCAGTAACAAGTGGCTGAGCACACTCCTCCTGCTGCTCATCGTCCACTAGAGGAAGCTCTTTGGCCATTTCACAGAGAGCGGCAAGGCTGCACTCCTGAGAGGGAAGAGGCTCCTTCACCGTGTCTGTTGTTGAAGTGCCATTAAGATATCCCAGGGATCGGGCAGAATCCACCAAGGACTTGGTTCCCTCCAGGACGACAGACCTGATCTGCATCAGCAAACTTTATATTATTGTGTATGAAATACAACTTTTCATTCTCAGTGATGGAAAGATATTTAATACAATTTTGAGGTACTTTTGTTTTTGTCATTTCATTTTCTTTCACAGATTCAGCCAAGACTTAAGTTAGAAAAAGAGATTAAACCTACCTTCTTATGGAAAGCCTGTGAATCAATTTCCCCCTGGTTGAATTCACTGTGTTTTCTTTTCCTCTTCTGAAAGTTAAATAAATACAATTTATGTATTATTCTTCACACAAAGCAGATACACATTTTTTTGTTTCAGGGAGAATGTTAGATTAAAAAAAAAAACACACTTACATAACAGTATGTGTCTCTGATTGCTTTATACTTACTGCGTTTAAAACAAGTTTAAAGGGAGTTATTACAACTCTGATTCCTAAAGAGACCTCATACAGTAATTTCTCAGTTTGTAATCCAGTGTAATACAACAGCCATGCATCAAATACAAATTTAAAAAACCTATCTTATAGTCTGCTCATGTTGGTGATTGTAAATCGGTGGGTAACCAGCAGTTGTCGCTGTAGTTTTTTTTAGCCCCTGATTTACCTTCGTTGGTTTGTCTGTTTTCTGCAACGTTTCTATGTTTCCTCCATCAGCAGCAACACTAGCAATCGCATCCAAATGGCTTTTTAAGATCTGAAAACACTGCCCTTTGAAACGGCAATTCACATGTGACTTCTGATTATTTTCTCTTACTCGGATGCATTGCAAATATCCCTTATCAATGAGGGAGCGTGCATCCAAAACACAGCCCTGCGTGTTTACCAGCACCACGGACATAGTCAAATCTGTGGCTCTATCTGGTATCAACCTATGCTATCAACGCACGTAGATGTTACAAGTAGCTCGCTGTGTCACGGTGCAGCAGCCATGTCCCGCCCAACAAAAACAAACACAAAACGTATCCGCACAACAGGATTTCTCTGAAAATGATACCGAAGGCAGAGCGCCTTTTACAACTGAGCGCTGTGTTTCTGTTTTCCATTTTGCGGAAGTAAATGCTGTGTGTATGTCCAATGAGCTTCCGTACAAGCGAACTGCACGCAAACTAACTACGAAGACAGGACAGAGTGTGTGAAGCTGTAGGCAGGGACAGCTGCATAACATGCAGTTCAATCACCGTGGGTATTTGTAAAAAGTCTGGGACGACTGCAAACTGCATGGCACACGTAGCTTAGCTAGCTAGTGAACGTGAGCTCCTATACATTGAGGTTAAGAAGGTGTTTCTCTCTCCAGCCTTCATGGAGGGAGGAAAAGTACGCAGAAGGATTCGTATTTACGATTGCCGCTCCACAAATGGGGAGAAAGTTAACCAGGAAATGCTGGAAACGAGTGGTTTGGACTTCAAAGGCTTTATTAAACTTCTGCACCGGGTAACGTACATTTTATTTACTTGTGTTAGAGCTCACGTGTGACTTCAACAGGATACCTAACTATTCTGTGTGGAAGAAAAATCGTCCATGGTCAGTTGGCGTTGATCTCCTACCACAGTGGCGCCTCCAGAAAAGTATCATAAAGGTGGCCACTGGGGCTAAAGAAAATATTGAGGTGGCACACCAAAACCAACAATTTAATTGTTGTAAAAGTATAGACTAGATGAAAACAATGGCAAAGAGAATCACCTACTGATATACTTTGGTTTCTTATTTTACATTTTCTGAAACTATTCATCTTAAGTGAATATTAATATGGGTAGTTAACATTTAACTTCAAGCAACATTTAAAATAACCTTGTTTTGTGTTATGTATATGGGCCATTCTACTGAATTGATGCAAAGTAAGGTTGGAACAGTTTTGAAATTTTGAATGTTTTTTCCCCAAAACTTTGTCCATATATATTTTGTACCATATCTAAATTACACATCTAGTAAAATAACCATACATTTTTATATCGTATTTTCAGACTGGAATGTTCTTTCTCCTCTTCTGCCTCATAATACACACATGCACACGGAAGGATTCACAAACCGCTTTCTGTGCATGGATCGCTGTGCATTCGTGTGTGGGTTTTTTGAGACTCCCCTGACGGTCACCCGATTCGTACTTGTAATTTTTTCTATCTATAGCCATCAGATGCTCCTCAATCCCTAAGCAATCACATGAGCGCGCCCACGAGCGGTACTGATTTTTATTGCGTTCATGTCGTAGCGCTTCATGTACGTCATTTTGCGCTGTCCATCCGCGAGCCTGCCTACAGGCGCAATCTCAGGACTCCTCCACTCTCAGTACTATTGCCCACTTTCGAACCAAGAAATGCGAGCGCAAATACAGCTTTTAATCATTAGTTAACAGGTACAGCGCCAATTCCCCGTGGTACTAAGACAGTGGAACT